ACACACACACACACACACACACACACACACAGAGCTCTGTTCAGACACGCTCACGTACAGTATGTGGTGATTGGGTTAGAGAGCCAATTAGCTAATTAAAGCTCTTACTCTCTCTCTCTCACTTTATTGACAGGACACAATTATTTTTATTTACTTCAGAAGCACTTGCAGCATATCTGCGTACAGTGAGAAATTGCAAATGTACAATAAAATCAAGTAAAAATACTGCACGCTGAGATACAAAATTAAAATAGGTGCAATAAATATATATATATATATATAACGGCAACAAAAAAATAAAATAACTCAAAAAGGTGCAAAATGAAAATTTAAAAATACAATAAAAGCTACATTAAAATATCAATAGGTGAAACAAATAAATTATATAAAAATAATATAATATAATAATAAAATACATCAAAATAAATCAAAATAATTAATGTCAATAGGTGCAAAACAAAGTAAAATGCAATAAAAAAATAAATAAATAAATAACCTTTTTGCTCAACCAGCTGTACTCAAAAGATCTCATTGACCAGCATTAAACCAGCATGAACCAGTGTGGAAATTAGCTATTAATTAATTTAACAAAAAGGAATAAACAATTTGGGTGCAAAAATAAGCAGAGTATTAAAACCCTTCCTCCATCTGTCATTGGTCAGTCAAACAGATAGTCCCGCCTCCAAACTCACATCATTGGTTGAGGTCGACATGTCAGGCTTCTCAAACTAACAGATCAATGTTTTGAATATAGATTGAGTCTCTGTTTCTCTCAGCAACTTTGCTTGCAATAATTAATAGATTCATCCTTCCATTCATCTTTTACCCTTCAGCAAACACTCACACACAGCGAGTTTTGGCAAATTTCCTACAGTTCGATTTTATCCACCGAGTCACTGAGTGTGTGTTTCTGCAGGATGGAGAACAAACACACACACACACACACACACACACACACACGGACATTCACAAACCTCAGCTGTAAGTGAACAATCCTCACACACACACACAAACAAAATGACATGAATACTTAGTCACTTTATGAAAAGGACAATCCTGCAACATTGACAGAGAGAGAGAGAGAGAGAGAGAGAGAGAGATGTGAATTAATTCCTCTAAAGTTTGGCCCATAAATCATTGTGCCTTTGCAGGGAAAACGCTTCGTCAGACCAAGAGCAACAGAAAGTAACCTTCAGAAGACAGACGGGCTCCCGTCTCACCTCTTCCTCATCTTGAGAAAGGTCAGAGGTACAGACGGGAATAGTTTAAAGCATTGTTAAGGAAGTGGAATCGTTAAGCAAACAAACCGATAACTCATGAGCTCGATCATTAGTCTGATTACTCATTAAAGGAGCTGGCTCTCAAGAGTTATTTCTCCATCAGTCAAACTCGGTTGCGTGGTTTGTTAGCGAAGTCAGTGCAACAGTATTATTTATTGACTCATTATTTCTCTCTCATCAATAACGTTTATACATTTGGAAGACGTTTTTATCCAAGGCACCTTTAAGAAATGCATTTGATCCATTCATGCATTCCCTGGGAATCAAACCCATGACCTTGGTGCCATGCTTTACTATGTTAGAAGATAACATAAAACAAAACAAAAAAATAAAATACAATAAAAGCAAAACTGCAAAAAGAAACAAAATAAAATATACAATAAAAAAAAGCATGGATGGGAATAACTCATGAGCTTGTTTGCTGGCCTGATTACTCCAAAATAAAAACAATTAAAAATAAATAATTAAAAAAAAGCAAAATAACAATTAAAACCTCAATAAGTGGAAAACTGCTAAACAAAACAATAACAAAACAAAATAAAAAATACACTATAAAATGTAATAACTCATGAGCTCAAATTGCTGGTTTGATTACTTCAAAATAAAAAAATAAATAAAATAAAAAACTAAAAGCAAAACCACTAAAATTTAAATAGATGCAAAACAAAATAAGATACACATTTGTGTCCCAAGTGTGTCCCACACTTTGTCTTTCAGTTAATTAAGTGCATCCTGTATTTACAGTGCACTTTCTTTGGATTTTTCAGTGTGAACGCACTGCTCACACAATTTCTACAAAAAAAAGTGTGGAATAGTGCACAAGAATGGAAATTGGGAAGCACAGAGGAGAAAGGAAGTAAAACAGTATTTACATGTTGTCAAACAGCGGTTCAGATTTTTATATTCACTATGGTGTTTAATCAAACAAAACCAAATACTTAAATACTTTATATTTATTTTCACACATTTATTTACACGTAAACATTTTTACATTTTAATCTGGACTAAAACATGCAAGATAAGATATCTGAAAAAGTTCTGATTCTTTATTATTGTTTGTTATATTTGTGAGGTTTTTGTGCATTTTTTTGTTTTTGTTTGCAGTTTAATTTTTTTTCAAGCACTGGTCAATTTTGAGATTTTGGGCTTTTGGCTTCTCAAAACATCCTTTTTCTGACTAGTGGAAATCACAAATACACATTTAAGTGTTTATTTTATTGCACTTTATTTATTTGCGTCTGTAGATTCCAGCTACAACCCATATCTTTAAAAGTTTTTTCTCCACTTCAGCAGCACTTACAAACACCAAAACTTAGAGTTTTATTCCTCTCTATATTCTGAAGAATTTTACTGAAGGGTTTGTTTATATATCATTCACACTCATTTATAGAACATTTTACTCCTAAAAACATAGTGAAAATGTGTTTTTTCTGTCTGTTGACAGTATTTTCTGATTATTCAGTCATAAAAAGAGAAATCCAAAATCCCCACAGTAAAAGCCTTTAACTCTAATATGTCAACAAATGAAAACAGGAATTTTAAACCTGGCTTCATCCAATGTTCAGATTTATTCTCTGGAAATATACGCAAATTAGTGCAAATTGAATCAGATAATGCTTCATTTGCGTATTTAAATCAAAAATTTTAGAAAACTTGTAAAACAAAGAAAGTTTGCTATTCTTTAAAGTAATCAATCAACTGGGTAAGTATGGTGGTATCCATTTAATTTTTACAATATTCACCTGTATTGTCTTGTATGCAACAAAACACACAAAGCATATAAAGTTTTTTTGTTTGTTTTTTTACATGAAAACTTATTAAACTTATTATTAAGAGGACAAAACTTCAGTTTCTGTAACTTAATTCAATACAATATACCATAATAAAAGCTTCTGATATGGTGACATGCCTAAACTACTGGAAGTGATTAAATAAGGAGCGGATCTCTAGCGGTCACTGACCTGCAGCGAATCGCGCCTCCTGCTCGCCCTCGGACAGATGAGAGTATGACGTGAGGTGTGACTCAAGGGTGCTGGGCGTGTCGGTGGGTTTACACCAGCCCTTCCACTCGATCAGGTGAGCCACGCGGCCATGCGCCATTGCCGTGGGCTTCGTCACATGATCTTTGACCACCTGCGAGATACCTGAACACACACAGACACAGGGGTCAGTGACCTGAATGCTGCATAATACATGAGGAATAATCCAGGTCATGCTGTCAATCAGTACGACACAAAGGACTCGTCACATGCATTGAAAGCGTGTGTGTGTGTGTATGTTTACTGTGAAGATCTAGTGAGCTGTGATCTCTTGTATTCACAGTGTGTGTGTGGGTCATGTTTTGTGATCTTTGTGGAGACCAAAAGACCTGAGAACAATACAGCATCTCAATGGAGACGCTTCATTTTCAAATCTATTGTTATTTGCCATTATTGCTGTAACTTTTATTAAACTACCATTAATCAGCATTAAATTACTGCATTAACTATTGAGAAGGTTTTAAAAAAGATGCATCACCTACAACAGGAACTTTAATGTTAACCAATAGTCAAATATTTATTTAGTTTAATTTATCAGTATGAAATTAATGCATTTTAACTACTGAGGAGGTATGGTGGTATATATTTTTTACCCTGTTCACCTGTAGTGTCATGCCTTTTAATAAATGCAATGATAATGCAAGTTTTGTGAAAAAAGGTTATTAAACTTGTTAAGAGGACAAAACTTAGGTTTCTGTAACTTAATTCAATACTGTAGAGAAGGATTTAAAAAGGTGCATCACCTACAAAAGCAGCCTAAAATAACTAAATAGATATTGGACTATTGATTAACATTAACCAGCATTCAATTACGGTGTTAATTATGGATAAGGTTTTAAAAAAAGGTGCATCACCTACAACAGCAGCAACCTTCAACATTGGTTAACATTAACATGCATGAAATTAATGCATTTTAACTATTGACAAGTTTATATAAAAGGTGCATCACTTACAACAGCAGCCTAAAATAAACTAAACAGATATTAGACTATTGATTAACATTAACAATAAGCATTAAATAACTGCATGTTAACTATTGGCAAGGTTTAAAAAAAGGTGCATCACCTACAGCATCATCTTAAAATAACCTAAATAGATACTGGACTTTGTTAACATTAATCTGCAAGAAATTAATGTATTTTAACTATTGACAAGGTTATAAAATGATGCATCTCCTACAACAGCAGTTTAAAATAAAGTAAATAGATATTTGACTATTGGTTAGCATTAACATTAATCAGGATCCCATGAGGTCTACATGTAAATTTGATGTAGAAACAATTTTCACTCAGAAAGTGCTAGTAAATTTCAATTAATTACAACAGAAACAGCAAATAACACATTGAATTAAACAGGTTTTTGGATGAAGAAAGACTGAAACATACTTCAATAATCTGTTTTATTAACAACTGTTTTAGAGGTTGTGCAAATGAATTATTATATTATGATAACAGATTTTTTAAAATCACAAATATTCTTGTAAATATTTAAACAAATGTTATAGTAGGGTTTGGATGTGGTATCACAATTTGTTAATGAAATCAACAAAAGTCAGTGAGAGAGCTGCGATCTTTACCGTGAAGTGAAGACCTCGCCAGCGCTGCGATCTCTTGAATGGTGAGAGCTCGTCTGGATTTAGGTAACATGTCGTTGCTGTCCTCAACATTTACCTGACAAGAGAAGTCAAAACACTGAAATGAAACGCTTTAAGTTTTTACTCAAACGGTTTAATTTCAATGACAACAACAAGTTTTTCTTTTCTGCATTTTTCCTCTTTACATCCTAATCTCATTGTTTAATAAACCTGGCATTGTATATTATGAATATTGTTGTCTTTGTGACAAATAGCTTTTGTTCCTCTTTTGTAAGTGGCTTTGGATAAATGCCTCTGCTAAATGCATAAATGTAAATGCAATTCAAATTTAGTTGGTTGGTTGCATTTAATTGTATAGCCAGCTTCACATAGCAGATTCAACATTCAACAACACAATACATATTTCTGTCAGGACCACTATCTTCAAAGAAGATTAACAATTAGCATACAGTTTGGACTAGCAGTATGGTTCAGCCTAGCATGGATAAAAGCAGGGAGAGCAGCGATAACCCCCCCCATGGTAATCAGAACAGAAATACATAAATGTATTACAGATATCATTATGTTCAACAATTTAATGTACACATTTTAGAAATTAGTCTGATTCAAAGGGGAATCAGAAGGCCGAATCCTGACTGGACGAAAGGAGGAGCTGGGGATGGAGGAGGGTAATTAGCAACGCGAAAGCTGCTGATAATACTGAAGGACTTTATATATGGATGTTGTGATAGGCGTCGTATCCTATAGGAAGACGTGAATCAGCTGACATGACCTGCCAGAACTAAAGCTACGCTTGATAAAATTCAGCTTAGAAAATAAGACTAAACAATTTTGTATATACACAGCTCTATAAAAGATTCTTTAAATCAGTGATATTTTAGTGAGATACTAGAATATTTTTTATTTATATTTTGAATTAGTTCTTATTTATATGTTTTCATTTTAATTTTATTTAAGTTTTTAGTAATTTTGTTGTGTTTGTCATTTTTATTAGTTTTTTTTTTAAAATGTCGATATAGCTTTTATGTGTATTTTTATTTAAATTTTAGTTATTTATTTTAGTACATCAAGTTACGCAAATTTTCGCAAATCTTTGGAACCTAGCTGAAATATTTTATTTCATTTCAGTTCAAATTTATTTAATTTCATTTAATTTCATTTCAAGTAACTAAAATATTATATGGTTTTAGTTAACTATAATAACCCTGCATTAAAAGCACTTAATGTGATAGAATTTCTCTAAAAAAAAAAAAATCCTTGGGCCATCTTACAAAATTACAAACATAGTTTGTAATTCAGTTTTAGTCAGTATTATGCAATATTGGTAGAAAAAAAAAAAGTTATACACTACAAATTCATACGAAGTCATACACAAGCAAATTAACTAGGACTTTTAACATTTTCTGGAGCAAATGTGAGAGGAATTTGGCCCGTTTAAACTCTAAGGTGTTGCTAAGGTGTTTGGAGTGTTGCTAAGGTGTTGTTGGTGGTTGCTATGGCAATGCTCAAGTCTCAGTTATCTTCTAGTCTGTAAATATGGCTCTGGTTCCTCCATCAGTGTGCATCTGTGGGATTTTTTTCAGCTCCAGCAGGTGCATCTGATCACTTAGTAAAGCAACAGCACATTCACATCCTCAACAATAGGCCTACATGATTTGAGAAATCATAAATGCTGCACTTACACACTCAACTTCAAGACTTAGTGATGTGAAATCTCTAACATTGAGCACTAGTAACAGCTTGATTTTTCAGCAAAATCTTGGCCTCAAAGTGAGAATCCCTCAAGAGCAATGCTGCATTTCAAGACCTTCACGTCTCATCGGACTGTACAGCAGCTTACAGTGTGTGTGTGTGTGTGTGTGTGTGTGTGTGTGTGTGTGTGTGTGTGTGTGTGTATAT